ATTCACTTTTCGGAATTAGTCGATATCAGGGCCGTCTATTATGTTTTAGGGGACGGATTTAATAAAAAAAAAAATCCGACATCATTTTCATAAAAAAGTGTCCCCCAGAACCTCATAATCAACATTGATATCGATTAAATACGAAAGGTTACAAAAAGTCGGGCCCCGGGGGCACTATCTCAAAATGTATGAAAATGATTAGTAATCTGATATCATTTTCATAAAAAGCGCCCCCTAAAATATAATAGTTGACCCTGATATCGATTTAATTCAAAAAGTTAAAAAAAGTCTGGGCCCTGGGGGCCCAATCTCAAATTCGATATCATTTTCATAAAAAGTGCTCCCTAAAACATAATAGTTGACCCTGATATCGATTTAATCCAAAAAGTTGAAAAAAGTCGGGCCCGGGGGCCCAATCTCAAATTCGATATCATTTTCATAAAAAGCACCCCCTAAAACCTAATAGTCGACCCTGATATCGATTTAATTCAAAAAGTTAAAAAAAGTCAGGACCCGGGGGGCCCAATCTCATATTCGATATCATTTTCATAAAAAGCACCCCCTAAAACCTAATAGTCGACCCTGATATCGATTTAATTCAAAAAGTTAAAAAAAGTCGGGGCCCGGGGGCCCAATCTCAAATTCGATATCATTTTCATAAAAAGCACCCCCTAAAACCTAATAGTCGACCCTGATATCGATTTAATCAAAAAGTTAAAAAAAGTCAGGACCCGGGGGGCCCAATCTCATATTCGATATCATTTTCATAAAAAGTGCCCCCAAAACCTAATAGTCGACACTGATATCGATTAAATACGAAAAGTTAAAAAAAGTCGGGCCCGGGGGCACTCCAAATGTCTGCAATATTCGATCGATATCATTTTCATAAAAAGCGCCCCCTCAAAACATAATAGTCGACCCTGATATCGATTTAATTCAAAAAGTTAAAAAAAGTCTGGGCCCGGGGGGCCCAATCTCAAATTCGATATCATTTTCATAAAAAGTACTCCCTAAAACATAATAGTCGACCCTGATATCGATTTAATCCAAAAAGTTAAAAAAAGTCGGGGCCCGGGGGCCCAATCTCAAATTCGATATCATTTTCATAAAAAGCACCCCCTAAAACCTAATAGTCGACCCTGATATCGATTTAATCAAAAAGTTAAAAAAAGTCAGGACCCGGGGGGCCCAATCTCAAATTCGATATCATTTTCATAAAAAGCACCCCCTAAAACCTAATAGTCGACCCTGATATCGATTTAATTCAAAAAGTTAAAAAAAGTCAGGGCCCGGGGGGCCCAATCTCATATTCGATATCATTTTCATAAAAAAGTGCCCCCAAAACCTCATAATCAACATTGATATCGATTAAATACGAAAGGTTACAAAAAGTCGGGCCCGGGGGCACATCTCAAATTCTGAAATGATTCGAATCGATATCATTTTCATAAAAAGCGCCCCCTAAAACATAATAGTCGACCCTGATATCGATTTAATTCAAAAAGTTAAAAAAAGTCGGGCCCGGGGGCCCAATCTCAAATTCGATATAATTTTCATAAAAAGTGCCCCCTAAAATATAATAGTCGACCCTGATATCGATTTAATCCAAAAAGTTAAAAAAAGTCGGGCCCGGGGGCCCAATCTCAAATTCGATATCATTTTCATAAAAAGCACCCCCTAAAACCTAATAGTCGACCCTGATATCGATTTAATTCAAAAAGTTAAAAAAAGTCAGGGCCCGGGGGCCCAATCTCATATTCGATATCATTTTCATAAAAAGCACCCCCTAAAACCTAATAGTCGACCCTGATATCGATTTAATCAAAAAGTTAAAAAAAGTCAGGACCCGGGGGCCCAATCTCATATTCGATATCATTTTCATAAAAAGCACCCCCTAAAACCTAATAGTCGAACCTGATATCGATTTAATTCAAAAAGTTAAAAAATGTCAGGACCCGCGGGGCCCAATCTCATATTCGATATCATTTTCATAAAAAGCACCCCCTAAAACCTAATAGTCGACCCTGATATCGATTTAATCTAAAAAGTTAAAAAAAGTCGGAGCCCGGGGGGCCCAATCTCAAATTCGATATCATTTTCATAAAAAGCACCCCCTAAAACCTAATAGTCGACCCTGATATCGATTTAATCTAAAAAGTTAAAAAAAGTCGGAGCCCGGGGGGCCCAATCTCATATTCGATATCATTTTCATAAAAAGCGCTCCCCAAAACATAATAGTCGACCCTGATATCGATTTAATCCAAAAAGTTGAAAAAAGTCGGGGCCCGGGGGCCCAATCTCAAATTTGATATCATTTTCATAAAAAGCACCCCCAAAACCTAATAGTCGACCCTGATATCGATTTAATTCAAAAAGTTAAAAAAAGTCAGGACCCGGGGGGCCCAATCTCATATTCGATATCATTTTCATAAAAAGCACCCCCTAAAACCTAATAGTCGAACCTGATATCGATTTAATCTAAAAAGTTAAAAAAAGTCGGGGCCGGGGGGCCCAATCTCAAATTCGATATCATTTTCATAAAAAGCACCCCCTAAAACCTAATAGTCGACCCTGATATCGATTTAATCTAAAAAGTTAAAAAAAGTCGGGGCCCGGGGGGCCCAATCTCAAATTCGATATCATTTTCATAAAAAGCGCCCCCCAAAACATACTAATCGACCCTGATATCGATTTAACACAAAAACTTAAAAAAGTCGGGGCCCGGGGGCCCAATCTCAAATTCGATATCATTTTCATAAAAAGCACCCCCTAAAACCTAATAGTCGACCCTGATATCGATTTAATTCAAAAAGTTAAAAAAAGTCAGGACCCGGGGGCCCAATCTCATATTTGATATCATTTTCATAAAAAGCACCCCCTAAAACCTAATAGTCGAATCTGATATCGATTTAATCTAAAAAGTTAAAAAAAGTCAGGACCCGGGGGGCCCAATCTCATATTCGATATCATTTTCATAAAAAGGGCCCCCCAGAACATAATAGTCGACCCTGATATCGATTTAACACAAAAACTTAAAAAAGTTTGGGCCCGGGGGCACTATCTCAAATCCGACAGCATTATCATAAAAGTCAAGTGGTGTAAAAAAGAAAAAAAAAAATGGTCCCCAAAGTTGATTAAATCCAAAATATTTTAATAATTCTTTATTTTATCGATTTACATTAATATCGATACTATTTAAAAAAACTATACCCCCATAAGATAACAATGGACTTAAACATGGAAGAAATATTAAATATTCTACTCCTGTAATTTTTATAATGAAATACTCGATTACTTTGCAAAGTACTCAGAGTAAAATATTGCTGAGTAGATTTGAAAATAGAAAGTACTCACGAGGCCAGCTGATTACTTTTTGTACTCGTCAATCATGAGTTCGAGTAATGATTGAAGTACTCGATACTCGAACCGGGCGAGTATTTGAGTAAATTACTCTGTAATTGTACTTTTTACTCAGAGTACAATTTTGCCCATCTCTACTCCATAGTAAACCAAAGTAATAGAAAAACTGGGAAAAAAATGATAAAAATGAAAAAAAAAAAAAAATAGAAAAACTGGAGGAAAAAACAGGGAATGTGCGGGAAATTTTTGAAGAAGAATCGCTGGACATCCTGTTGTTCACTGAGTTGTTTTGTTTACTTTCAGAATCTACTCTTCTATGAGCATATCGCACTTCAGACATTTATAACCTGTCGTTATTTTTACTTTTGTTTATGGTTTCTCTCTACTTGTATTATTTATATATCTATCTATCTATGTGGCGCTACATCCCTGGGTGGTTCTTGACTTCCTCAATGAGCCGACACCATTTGGCCCGATTTTGTGCTGCTGCTCTCCAGCTTCTGATCCGTAGTAGGCTCCGTGCGTCTGCTACCACTCCATCATCCCATCGAAGCCTTGGCCTACCAGGCCGTCGTGTACCGTGAAGGTCGTTGTCCACTACTTTCCTTGGAATTTCTTCCGCTTCCATCCTTGCATCATGACCAGCCTAACTAAGCTTCTCCAGTTTTATAAACTTTACAACGTCCATATCTGCGTAAAGGTCATAAAACTCCCTGTTCCTCCTAATCCTTCATCCATCTCCATCTCTTACTGGGCTAACGATTCGCCATAAGATTTTTCTTTCGAAAATCAAAAGCCTACTTTCATCACTTCTTGAGATGCTCCAGGATTGGGAAGCATATGTAAGAACAGGGCATATAAGAGTCTTGTATACGACCAGTTTAGTGCTCCTGGTAATGGATCTGCTGCGGAAAGTTTTCAGTAAGGCCAAATATGCCCTATTTGCCACCACCAGCCTTTTCCTTATCCCAGCAGAGACATTGTTTATTGGTGTCACTAGGGATCCCAAATAAGTAAACTCGTTCACCCTTTGGAATGTGTAAGGGCCCACAATCAGTGCCTTGTCACCACCAGTCCCTGTGTGCATATATTTCATTTTATTCTCCTTTATGGCAAACCCCATGGCTGTTTAAAGTTAGGTTAGGTTTTATGTTAGTTAATTTAAAAAAAAAAACAATGTAATAATAATAATAATGTGTCTACTAATTAGTTGATACATTATTTATCTACTTTTAGTATTTGTTTAACCATGTGTTTAACTTTTAATTAGTGTTTTAATATGTATCTTCATTATTAATAATTATTTATCAATAATCTCTTAGATACAATTAATGATTCTCCTCTTCTTATTGAATTGAAAAGATATTTGCTTCAATGTAATTGAACACCTTAATGTATTATTTAGCCTGTAGATAATCCCTGTTGATAGTCTAACTATAGCTGGCCAGAATAATTAGAATTCTATTTTCATCAGAACTTTTTCATACCTAAAATATTTATTCTATTGTCAGGCTATTTTTAAAAGTATGGTATTAAGTGTTGCTTACAGATCAGGCCATGTTTAGTGGCTTTAAAAAAGAAATGTATATTTTTATATATAAATATATTTATTAGATTTTATATTCATATTTTTGTTTTAGGATGGAGTTATGTGGTTCTGTGGGACCAACTAATAATAAAAACACTGGCTTGTTGGCTGATGTGGATCCTGTAGCTCTTGACAAGTCTATTAAATTTTCTAATATAGGTGGCCTTGAACGCCATATTACTTGCCTTAAAGAAATGGTCGTATTTCCGATTTTGTATCCAGAAGTGTTTGAACAGTTTGGAGTGACGCCTCCTAAAGGAGTTCTTTTTCATGGACCACCAGGTATTGACTTATTGAAATGAATAACTTATAACTTCTTTATTTTTTATTTGTTATTTTGAACTATATAGGAATTTGAAAAGAATGCTGAAGTGTTTAATATCTGCGTTAGTTTCTAAACATGTTGGATTTTGTTTTTATCTCACATATTTAATATTTCTGGTATTTTATTTTGATATAATAGAATTGTTTTACTTGTATGAAAAACATTTTTTCAAATATTATTGAAGGTAGAATTTTTTAAACTTGGAAATTTATAACCAAAATGAACTTGTCTTGAAATTAGATTTACACTTATTAAAATTACTGTTATTTTATCAACTCCTGTTGGTAATGATTGCTCTCTTAGATGCATAACATGGTACCACATGATGCCGATGGAGACTTAATAATTACCTTATAACTATTCCTCTAGAGTTGATGTCTTACACCACAGGTCATCCACCTTTTTTGGATCTGTAGACCACCTAAGACAGAGCTTATTTGCTTATTATATAAAGTACCTAACTCGGATGTCTAAACCGACCCTTCACCTCACCTCACCCTCCAACAGGGCAAAAAGATGGAAGTGTCAACGGGCACCCATGGAAAGGAAGTATCGCAGCTATACCAGATTTCAACCGCTCATCAGCACACTGTAACCAGATAGCTGTTCAGACCACAGTCGCGACCTCACAATCTCTACGACAGCCACGGCCAGACAGGGCAGGCCCTTCTGCTGTCCACCAATAGTGCTGTCAAGGCCCTGGTGACACCCCGTAGTACCAATCCGATCTGATAAAAAATAAAAAATTTAATCTGACCTCAAAGCATGATTGGTCACATGCTTCAAAATCATTTATAAATGAACGATCGCTATGGCTTGACATCAACGACTAATGACATGGGAGGATGCCTGTGGATCCGTGATCGATGAGGGATGACAAGAACCAAGGACTCAAGTCGATAACTGTCCCTGAAGGCCACCTAAGACCACAAAATATTTTACATGCCTCTGAACTGTAGTATGTGTCCTCCCTCTTTGTGTGTTTTTTTTTTGGTAGGGGAAAAATCTTCCATAGGACCAAGTACCATAAACAAAAAGTCACAGTGTGAGATTTTTATTCACTTAAAAACCACCTCCCAATTCTTCTTCACCACCCCACGGAGCTGCTGTCAAGTATTACTTCACAAGAGGAGAGAAAGGCTATATACCTACTTTTTCTGTGGACATCTTATTCAAGCTAAGACATTGCATGGCCTCATCATTAAACTGACTTAGTTTTCTGGGGATGATTTTGTTCCAAGTTTCATATCTAGATCTTTCTTTCCTTGAGCAAAACATGAACAACAAAACATTTATTCTTCTGTTGTTCCACTGTTTGATCCACGGAATCACAAGTTGGACACGATGATCTATCCTCTATTTTGAAGCGGCTTAAGTATGCCCTAAAGCAACCATGTCCTATAAGCATTTGGGTAAGGTTATAATCTACTTCCCCATGTTTCTGGGATACCTATTTTGATATATTGGTAATCAGACGATGGGTCCATCTTCCAGAAGATGAAACATTCCAGCGTCTCTGCCATCTTTCAAGAGTATGGTTTCTCTCTTCTTTTGCTAAAGTAGCCCAGTGGGCATTCGGTTATTCTTGTTTTCTTCAGAACATCCAGTTGCTTCATCTGCCAAAAGATCGATCGGAGGCATATCTGTCATGACGCATACATCATCGTAGGAGGCAATAGGAAAAGTTCGAGCTACATTCAGGAAACTTCTTCAATGCTCACTGATAGCTTTATGGACATATGACTGCACTTGGCAGGCTGCCGCACAGATCAGTGCTGCGTACAAAAGTGTGGAACTTGATACATTAGCCAGAAGCTTTCTCTGATTTTCTCTTGGTTCACCAATGTTTGCCATAATTCTGACCAATTAATAACTACTTGCGCTGCTCTGGTGCTCACTTTGTGCAAGTGTTCATCAAATCTGCACCCTGAGACATCTAATTATAGAGATATCTATTATAACATTTGGTATGTCGGATGATGGTCCCTTAATATAATAATCTATCTATAAAGTTTACTTTCTATCTAATACTTTATCCTGTTTGTTCTCTTTTATTAAATAGTATTGATTATGACTGATCAGTATGCTCAGTGATTTAGCAACTCAACACAGTTGAGCAGCCGTACAATTTTATTGTGCTTCTCCTTAGCTATATATGATTTGTCAATGAATGGGATCCCAAGAGGTTCCCATGCTTCACACTATTGAAGTCAACTCAAGCCCAAGCAGGAAGGGACCCCAGGCCCTATTATTATATATAAAATTCACTTGTCTTACTTTATATGCTGTATAATTCAATTAACTCTATAATCGCAATTACAGTTGCAGTTAACAGTTAAATGACATGTACCTCTGTATTTTCTCAAGCCAGACTTATGGGCTCATTTTTTCTTGTTAAATCTGTTATTATTCTAAGGGAGTTTTAGTCCCAGAATAAAATTATTTTTTACCCGAATTATTTTTTTCTTTCATTGGAGATCACAAAATATTGAATAACAATTAATAAAAAAATTATGGTGGAATAAAATTAGATAGACAAACACAAATTGTTTTTGCATCACTTTAAAAATAACTAGTAACCAGTAAAAAATATTTAAAGATTTTTTCAAAATTTAAAACAAAAGTGATTTGTAGATAACTCATGTTTAGAAAAATAGGTTTCCTATAAAAGCTGTAGTAAATTTTGTGTCCTTCAATATTTAAGATAAACAGTTCTAAGCATATATATATATTGCATGGAAAAACAAATAATTACCTAATACCAAAAAATTATACATGTTCTGCCATTTTGAAAGATCGATAGTTTACTTTCTATTGGGCTTAGAAAAAAAAACGTTTCTCACAAAATTGTTAGATAATTCTAAGCTCTTTAAGAGTGAATATAACCATTTTTTAGTTATTTCGCTTTAGAAACGAGATATTCAGTGTAAACCAAAAAAAGTCCGAAATTTCTGTGGTTTTTGGATCATAGAGCTGAACCCACAAGATTTTTGAGACACAAGACCCACAATGATCTGTCAAAGGACCTTTTCCCAGATTCAGAGGATATTCTTCCATTGTTTGACGGTATTAAGAACCCAAGAAGCAGCTCTTCTATGATTTGAACGTCCCTTTCTAAGAAGAATGTTCAGCCTAATATTCAATAACAACCAAGAATGCGAACGAACGATGAGTTGCATTGCAGGAGCTACATCGAGATGCCAATGTTGTGAGAATAATAAGGATTGGTAGAATAAGAGGGCCGTTGAGACGTTCGCCAGATGCCTGGATATCATATATTGAGAAAGTTATAAGAGGAGCTAATTTACACAAGGCAGGCTCGCAGATCAAAACTTTGATGGGGTGGAAGCAGATGCTCGAACTATTCTTGGAGTCCAAGATTGAAAAGCCTTAAGTCTACATGAGTTGTAGTGCCAAAGAAGAAGAACTTTCTATAAGTGTTGGAGCAGTTGCACCGGATCCTGTCCTTCCTGTTCCTCACTTTTTGAGGATAACATATATTGGGTTTTTTATAATTTATTTTAAGACCCATTCTTTTCCCAGCGTCTACAAATTCCTGCAAAGCTCCTGAAAGTGCGGTTTGGATCTTAATGATTTTACCACGTCATCAGCATACACCAAATGTTGGGTGTCTAATATATATCGTTCCTCCTGGATTCATCTTAATTGCTTTGGCCGCTTGCTCTAATGCAATATTGAATAATACAGGGAAGAAAGAATCTCCTTGGCGTAAACCATTCTCTAATTAATCTATATGTTATTGATTTACATTAAAATAAATAATATTTTTAAAAATCTGGTTTGGTGCGCAGAACTCACAACTTTCACTTACTTACCTTAGAGCAGGACCATTATGTGGGCGACTGAGCCATTGCCTGGGGTATCGTGGCTAGAGGGGTGCCACAGATTGTGGACAAACAAAGAAAATTTACAGAATACCCGATTTCAATAAGAGTCTACTAAGAAAATATATGTAATCAAAAAGTTAAAACAAACATTATCAAATAAAAAATCTTTACAATCTACAATAGGTAAATAATAACTTATCGTAACCTGACTTGGTAGACTAATATAAATATCTATTATTTTTATTAAGAAAGTGTTAGGTGTTGAGTGCATTTCTGTGAAAAGTATTGTTTATTTTGGTTCGGTGAAAATCAGACTAAAACAGCCTTCTCAGTACCCTTTATCCTATTCTAAGTGTTGAATTTAAGAAGTAATTTTTCTAAAAGTGAACTAGTGAATTATTTTTTAATAATTTATTGTATATGCCGTGAATCAATGAATCATGATTAGTGAGATGTTCCAGAAGTGAAGTATCTTTTAACAAAGTTCAATTAAGGTGAGTTTGTTTAAAGATATGGGTGAATATGATTTTACTTTAACTTATATTAAGATACGAAACAGAAGACAGCAGCCGTGTACTTCTTTCTGTGATTCCTAATTTTGGTATCCTCATTTTGTTGTAATAAATTAATATGCTGATAGATCAAAATCTCTGCTTTAGTTTTTAACGAGTAGTTACTCGCTAATTTGTTCGCATAGTTTTCACTTTATTGAGTACCTATGAGTACCTTGCATTCATTTTAATGCCACTGAAAGAAAGAAAGTGTGTTTTAACTCTGTTAATCGAAGCATTGTGGATTCCAGCATTTTAAAATCTTTTAAATGCTCAGTTACACTTACAATAAATAAGTAATTAATGGTTAAAGGAACAATGAATAACTAATTAATGCTTAAAGGACGATTTTTGTTATATATTATTTTATTCAAATGTTTTTTCATTGTTCCTCCCACAGTTTCTGTGCCCCAAATACGTCACATCGGTGGCATTGGCATAATTTACACCATTGCATCTTTTAATCAGTGGAACTAGGATTTTGCCAGCTTAATTTTAGGGGCAAGCTTAATTTTAGTGTCCCAATAGAAGCCTACATTTTATATCAGTATTTTATAA